GTTTTTATCACAGCAATTGAAAGTAAACTAAGACAAATATAAATTCATTAAGTAAAACTTAAAATTCAGGTCTTTGGTTGTAATTGCTACAATGCAAGACCAATAGCCACATGTGACCGGTGGCTTATGTATTGGACGTCGAGGCTCTGAGGTCTAGTAGCCACACAAGGTTCGAGTGAGTAGTCCGAGTAGTCCCAGCTATCCCCCAGGTGAATCCTGAAGGAGAGGAGACAGGCTAATTAGGACCTGTGTAAGGGGCTGAAGCCGCATTACATAGACCTCTTTTTGTCCCACCATGGTATAGAATCATGTCAGTCAATTTTATAATTTCCTTCCATCAACAGTTCTATTTTGCAAGTGAGGAAATCTGTACAACTGCCAGGAATCTTTGAGGTATGAATTTCTTTAACGTATGAAATACAGTTCACTCTTTGTGGTAGATTTTGACCTATTATCAAGATACAGAGCAGTTGTAGAACATCACCCCAAACCCCTGTGGTGCCCAGCTGTGGTTTCAAGCTATGCCAAGCCCCAAGTCTGCTCTTCCAGAACTTGTTTATTTACCCTCTTCGCCATCTTGGGCAGTGGGCACCGAGCTCCCTTTTGCCCAAGGCAATGCAGCTCAGTGGCAGAACTGAGTTGTGGACCCAGATCTGCACTAAACTTCTACTTTAAAATACCTTTTTTTCCTTTGTTGCTCTAAGAGTTTTTGTCTTTTGCTAGAAGCCACCATGGGCCTGGAGTTTACACAACACTAATGGAGCACTGTGTGTGACCTGTACCAGAGCAAATGGCCTGTCCCTGCATTTCTGGGCAAGTTAGTTCTGCTCTGGTGCTGGGCACGCTGCTAACTGGCACAAAAACACAGCCTATCTACTTCTTATAGCTGCCCTGCTTACCCTCTCAGAGAGCAACAGCTTTTGCCAGGAGAACTGGGACATCTCCCCACAGGCCCTCGTCAGTCAGCAGCAAGCTAAAGGAAGATCTTTGATGTGGCCCGACCCCTTCCTCATACAAGTCGTCCTCAGGGTGTACATGGTGTCTTGACTGGGTACCTCCCTCTATAGTGTGAGGCCTCTCAACCTGTGTTGAACAAAAGCAAGATAGTTCCCCCCCTCAAACCATTGTGGGAAGGAGGGAGACACAGGGGACCTGCTGAGGAGACATGGTGGGGTGGGGAACATGGCTATGGCTATGGGTTTATTACTTCCCATCCTGTGAGAATCTACCAGAGGTTCCAAGTCTGTTTCTTGGCATTAGCCACTGATGTTGGTTTACTCCAAAGGATAGGTTGGTCCTCTTGATCTTCTAGATCTTTCTATAAGCCTCTCCCCATCCTTTCAAGTCTTGGCTGGCCTCTGGTGAAGGGGAGCAGCTGGTTTTGAGGGAGCTAAAGGGATTTGAGAGAAGGCTCTGTCCACAGCCCCACTGGCTCCTGGCTCCTACTGAGGGGCAGACACGGGCCCAGAAGGCCAGGAGAGAGCACATTGCCTCCACAACCAAGTTATGTTGTCACAACATAGGCTCACACAGCACAGTGGTTCTAATCCTTGGTTCTCATGGGCTAGAGAAGGCGGTCATTCCTTTCCCACATACTTCTGCAATGGCTCTCATGGTTGGAAGAAACTGGGCCAAGGAGAAAAAGAAACCAAGCAACACCGAGTCCCACACCAACGAGCATCATTTCTCCTCTCTGAACTTGAGGACAGGTGGCCAGAACTGACAGTGGAGGGATAAGAGAGAAACTGGCCACTGACATCTAGTTTTTGGTCTTAATCTGACAGCCAAACTGGGGTTAGATTTACTAGTGATATCCTAGGGTCACTGTTACTGATTTACTTACTTATTTTTATTTCCAAATATAATATAGGTTATCTAGAGAACTTCCCCAAATGACCAAAGGCATCGTATAAGCAAAAGTTTAAAGACCGTATTCTTTGACTAATAAATGGTAGTATTTGAAAAGTCTTCCAAGCTATTCTGCTATCCATAGATACCCCTCTATCCCCAAAACAGAATCTCAGACAAGAAACTATATCAGTCATTTTTGTTGTTAGTTTTAAGAATCATAGCAATAATTCTTAGGCGCACCTGGTAAATCATTGATATAACCAGAAATGGCTCCACCCCAGCCTCCTGGAGGTGGACTTGATGAAGCAGGGTGATTTCAGGGTGACTGTTTAGGGAGATAAACTCCTCCATCTTTTCTCTTTAAACACAGCTGTTAAGTCGTCAAGGCCCGAGATGAAAGAAAAGTGGCTGGGCTGAGTCAGCACCCAGGTCTGCCTTGCCAGGCCTGCCACCTGTTTTATTAAGCGTGCCGGCGTGTCATCACCACTGCTGAATGAAAAGGAGTTTTTGTGGGCTAGAACCGTGTCTCTTTCCCTTGGGCCCTTCCTTCTCCCTCCTCAGCTTGAGGCTGAGGAAAAACAACTGGCCTCTGTGAAAGAAAGCAACTCACAGCTTGACCTCAGAAAACAGAAGCCCACAGAAGTGGAACGTAGGGTATTATTTTAGGGGGCAATTGTGGGTGAGTTCCACCCCCCAGATAAAAACCTACATTGCAGTGTTTGAATATAATTCTGGGTCCTTGAATGTTAAAAGAAACATACACAAGTCCCATCAGCCTCTGTTCTCTGGAGACAGGAAGTGGCCACTCTGGCTCAGGGCAAGCAAGGCCCACCTTAACCCAGGTGGGTGAAGAGCTGGACATTCCATTTCTCTTCTCCAGTGAAGAAAGCCAGCTGCCCCATCCACCCTCACACTTTGTAAGACTATAAAGGACTTATAAAAGTCTCAAGACAGGACACTCAGGAGGGAGGGGCCTCTCATCAAGGAAACCCACGTGGGGAAGTGCATAGCACCAGAAGCTGTGGAGAAGCTCATAAAAAACCCATATATCCGCTGAGACCCTGTGGATGGGGGAACACTTGTGGAGAGGAGTGGGGTTCACCACCCAGACTGACAGAGCCCTGACTGGGCCCTTGGATTGCCTAATGCTGGCCTTGCTGGCATGAATGAGTAAGGTGAGGGAGGGGACCGCCATACAGTCACCCACAAATCAGGGTGATACTTGCTCTGGGCTATGGAGGGAAGTGGGTCACAGGGTAACATTGGAACTTAACACTTTGCCTAGGGAAATGTTCCCAGTAAACAATATTCCTCACTTCCCCTCCCATGGGAAAGAAAGGGAAACCTGGAAAGGTGTCCGACCTAGGACTTCTTTAATTTTAACGTGTGTATGGAGGCCTGAGGGGACACCTGCTGCTCTATCCCTTCCTTACTCCCTTGAGACAGGGTCTTCCTCTGACTCTGCGGCTAGATCGGCAGCCAGCAAGCCCTAGTGAACTTCCTGTCTTTGCCCCCAACCCCTGCCCCATATTGCTGGGATTACAGGAGGACTCATAGCCATGCCTAGTTTTTTATGTGGATGTTGAGGATTTGAATTCAGGTCCTTATGTTTATTCACCAAGTGCTTTTACCCACTGAGCCATCTCCCCATGCCTCTACCCAGGACTTACCTCTTTTCCCTCTCAGAGCTCTAGGCCCTAGACTGGGATCACTTTAGGACTCCTAGCAAAATATTGACACATTAAATTAGAGAGAAAGTAAGGAACAGAGCATTTCTTTGACTAGCTCCTGCGAACAGAGCAAAATGGAGGGGGAATCTATGCTATTTGTTTTCCAGGAATGATCCTGTTCCTTAACATAGGTTTAGCTTAGTACTAACTTACTACAGATTTGGCTTAGTGTAAGCAAAATGGAAACCTTTCAGTTTCATGACTCGGAACCTGGATGAAATTTGGGAAAATATATTGACAGATGTCACACATGACATGTCCCAACACCTTGAAGTTTCCTAAAGCCTTGATGCTTGTATCTATGTAGACAGTGCTCTTAGCTCCTTTATCAATAAAGGCTAACAACAACAATAGCAAAAGGTTGGTGTCTGCCCCTTGCTGCCCCAGGCACTTTTAGACACCCACACCTACTTTTTCTAGCATTCACGGTAGGCCCAAGAAGTCAAGCCCAGAGAGGTGACACTGCCCAGGGTCACTCAGTGTCAGGGCCAAGACCCAACTCAGGCCTCTTGGATCCCTGAGTCCAACTTCCCAACTGTGTGATTGCAACCACACTTTGGTACCGTTTGAAATGCAAACTGGGGTGGAGGTTCAGGTCATGGGGCCATAGAGCCAGAAAGACCTGGGAGCTTGTTTTTGTTGTTGAAGTCTATGTGAGTCACTTTACCTTGGTAAGCTTCACTTTGCTCATCTGTAAACCGGGGGAAATAGCACCTTTGTGAAGATTAGGTAAGATATTTCATAGGAATAACACAGGCTGTCATCAGTCACTGTGGGCTGACATGGGCTTCAGGGGACACCCAGGTGGGAGGGGCAGGGAAGGCCTTAGCCGGGCTGCACACAGCAGTGGGTCTCCTCTTGTTCTGACGTTCTGACGAAAGCCATAATTACAGCCCCTCCTGCCACATGGCCCTGGGGCACTGATGACATCCCGCTGCTGTAGGGGTCAGGTCACATCCCCGCCTGGATGGGCAGGCATGGGGTACCGAAGCAGGCCTGATAGGGACGTGTAGGGGACAGTTGTCTCTGAGAAGGGCAGCAGGACATGTCTAAAACCCTACCTCGAGGCCCCCATCCACAGGAAGAGATGGCAGAGGAAGACTCAGCCCCTGGAGTTTCTGCCCCCCTGAGAGTTCATATGTAATATGTTGAATTTGAGCCAAATTCATAGTGAGAAACAGCTTCTCTCGGTGGTGTCCCTACTTGCCGTGCTCAGCATGATCTGATGGACCCTCTCCCAATGGTCCAGCAGGGCAGCATCTATTGTCAGACATGCACAGTGGTTACTGTGTGTCCAGTTCGGTTCAAGCACTTAATGTGTATTAATTTAGCCCTACTAAGTAAGTCTTGTTGTTGCCCCCTTTTGACAGATGGGAAAACTGAGGTTCAAAGAGGTCAAGTAGCCTATTCTAGAGCCAGATGGTGAAGAGCCACATCTCCAAGGTGGGGGGAGGTAAGGACCTGGTCACACACTTGATCCCTGTTCTATATGGTTTCTCTTGGCCCTATGAGAGACTGTCATTATTCCACTTGGCAGATGAGTAAACTGAGGCTCTGAACCAATGCACAGCCAAGGTTGGAGTCATGCTCAGGTTACTGTAGCAGGCTGGCCTGCATCTGGCTGCAGCTTATCTTTCAGTGGATATGAATGGGCTGGGGGAGAAGGACAGGGCAGACAGCCCCAGTACTACAACCTGAGGCCCAGCTAGGCTGAGGACAGTGAAGTCCCAATTGCCAAGGTCCCACTGGCTGGGCTGCAGCATAAGCCTCTGGGTTCTGATCTGAGGCCACTGAGTGTTCCGTTTTCCAGGGTTGGCCTCTATAATCCACTCTAAGGAATGCATTTTTCTGTGCTCTGAAGGTGATTGACTCCAGACTATTTTACAAGTGTGTTTTGAGCCACAACTTTCTACTGGGTTTCTGCTGAGTCAAAAGTTTCAACTGTGAGATCGTGAGAGTCCCAAGGGATTCCAAGAGAGCATCCCAGGCAGGGTCTGAGATGACCACACAGCAGGGCTGCCCCCTGGCCTTTCCACTCTGCCAAGATCCATTTTCCAAACTGTAATCCCAGCACTCAAGGGGCTGAGGCAGGAGAATTGTGCATTCCAGGCCAGCCTGGACTACATAGTAAGAACCTGCCTCAACAAACGAAAACAAGCATGAAAACCTCCTTTCCTTGTGTCTGTTTTATACTGAGATACATACAGATTTTTCTTTTTTTTCCATTTTCCATTTTTCCATGTGTGTATATATCTTATGATGTGTGTACATGTTTACATGTGTGTGAGCACATGTATGGGGATGCACATGTATGCATGTATGTGTGTGTGTGTGTGTGTGTGTGTGTGTGTATGCAGAATGCCACAGTTGATACTGGGAATTATCCTCAATCTCTTGTCTACCTTGTCCATTGAAGCAGGGTCTATCAATCAAACCCAGAGCTCACCAATATGGCTAGTCTCACTGGTCAGCTTGTTCTGGGGATCCCCTGTCTCCCCTTTCTGAGATAAGTCTGTCACTAGGCTCACTCAGTTTGTATGGGGGTTCTGGGGATCTGAAGTCCAGTCACATTTGTACAGAAAATTAATCACTCAGCCTCAGATTTTTTATTTGAAGAAAGAGTTCTACCACCACAAATGCTTTAAATTCAGCATGCTTGATCCTGGGGATAGAGAGATAATCTGACATGTCCTTGGCATCAGAGGTCACTAGAAAAGAGCCATTCAGGCTGTACTGGAGCAGCAGCAAACTTAACACCTGCCCAGAAGAGTGTGCAGCTGAGACAAAGCACAAGTGATTGGCTCGAGGGCAAAGGACGGGGAGGCCTCAGGAGCTGGAACACTGAACAGGGTTTGGAAATAATGGATACTTTGAGCCACCAAGGAGGGGAAGTCTTCCAGATGGAGGGGCCAGAACCCAGAGGCTCAGGATACGGTAGGAGTTGATGTCTCAGATGGAAGGTGCAGACCTCAGCATGCTGTTATCTGCAGGGGGCTAAACTTGGATTCATGGAGCAGGTCACTTTGACACACACTTTGATCATCACCATTCCTCTGTCTGGGACTGTGCTAGGCAGTGGGGACCAGAACACAAACTTCCTGGTCTCTGATGCTTCAAGATGTGGGGTAGAATGCAGCTAGCTGCTGACCAGTGGGATTTTCCTGGGTTAGGATGGAGATACTGGGGACAAGGGATCAAGAGCTAGTTTTTGAAGCCCAGAGGTAGGGAAGGCAGGCAGCATCTTCACAGGCTGGGCAGGAGGGTAACAAGGTAAGGTGGCCTCCAGGATGGACGTGGAGAGGCTGGGAAGATGGTGATAGAGACGGAGAGACAGTAGGAGGAAGGAATCACAGGAAAGGCTTACAGACAGAACACTGGGTGTGATCAGGGAACAGAGTCGCTGGGCTGGGCATTGGGTTCAGGAAGGCAGTGTGAGGGTATGGGTTGAAAGGATCTCTGGGAACCAGGCTGTGAGGCACCAGGAGGCAAGCCAAGAAGCCCGGGCCCAGGCTGATCACCTCCCAGACAGGCTAGAGGGACCCTTTGGAGGCAGCCACATGGGTTCAAATCTAGCTGCCCCCTAATGAGTCTTGTGACTTTGGACATGTGGCTTTGTTTCTCAGAGCCTCGGTTTGCACACCCATAAAATGGAGACACTAACACCTGTCTCCGGGCCATCCAATAAAACACTTAAAGGCCTTGTGTGCTATGTGTCAGTTGGTTCCTGTTGTCCAACATTGGTCAGGGAGGGAGAAGAATTCCATTTCATTCGTTTGCTGGTCTGAGCCCCTTCTTTTTCAGCTTAGTCATTCCAGGGTGCTGATCTGTTCCAGGCCCTGTGCTGAGCGTGGCAAATTCTGGTAGGAAGCCATAGCCCTGCCCTGGGCGAGCTGCTACCCAGCCCTTACCCTTGACTCTTAGCCACACCCCAGCAGGATCCTGTGAAGTAGGTCTCCTGGGACTTCTGCCGTGAGAGTGGAGATCCAGGCCCATGTCAGAGATGACAGGAAGAGCTATCATTTCAAAAAGGAAAAGTGCTGATTTGGCTCAGGGTCATGAAATCATATTATTAACTACAGTTTTGGATATTAGGATAACTGCCTTAAGGGCCAGAGAGGGGATAGATGGGCACCACAAGGGGATGAAAATGAGATAACCTTCCCCAAACCTTGGTCACCTCCCCCGATGTTGTACAGAACTCAGGGTCACAGTGCAGCAGTGGCTGTTTTCTGAGCACCTTCTGCATGCCAGAATTGTAGTAGATTTTTTTTACAGACTTGCTTAATTTTCCCAAATAGCTGTGCCAAGGGGAGAGAACCAAGTTCAGATATTTAGTGGCATAGTGTGGATACCAGGGGGCTTGTAGAAGCCAAACTGAGTCATAGGAGGAGAAAAAGGCCAAAGTCCACACAATTGGTTATTGGTATTGGTATGCCTGTATCTTCCATTTCTACTCCCAGGCCACTATATTTTCCCTTTTATACTTTGATAATTTCTCTTCAGCCTGCATCTATGTAAGTGCACCTGTGTTGTGCAATGCCTGCAAAGGTCAGAAGAGGGTGTCAGATTTCCCTGGAACTGGTGTCAGAATAGTTGCTAACCACTATGTGGGAACTGAACCCGGGTCCTCTGCAAGAGCAGCCAGTGCTCTTAACCATTGAGCCATCTCTCCAGCCCCTCTTCTGAGAAATGGCTCAGCGGTTAAGAGCACATACTGCTCTTGTAGAGCACCTGAATTCAGTTCCTAGGACCCACATTGGCAGTTCACAACCACCTGTAACTCTAACTCCAGGGAATCTGATGCCCTTTTCTGGCCTCCACAAGCAACTGCGCTCACATGCATATACCCACACACAGACACACATGCATACACATAATTTAGAATAAAAATAAATGTGTAAGCTGGGTGTGGTGGCACATGCCTTTAATCCTAGCACTTAGGAGGAAGAGGCAGGTGGATCTTTGAGAGATCAAGGCCAACCTTATCTACATAGTTAGTTCCAGGTCAAGTAGGGACACTATGAGATCCTGTCTCAAAAAACGACAGAAAAATCCTTACAGGCTAAAGAGATAGCTCAGTGGTTAAGAGCACTGGCTGCTGTTGTAGAGTACCAGGATTCAGTTCCCAACACCCACATGGCAGCTAACAACTGTTCATAACTCCAGTTCCAGGGAATCTGACTCCCTCTTCTGGCCACCACAGGCATTACATGCACAGGTGCACTTAACATACCTGCAGGCAAAACACACACATAAAATAAAAATAAAGAAAAATTTTTAATTAAAAAAATAAATCTTTAAAAATATTTACAAGATGTATTTGTGGGCAACTTGCAATCATTTTTAAATCGTCTTTGGACTCTTATACATTTGCTAACTTACAACATGGATTTGTGACCCCCCCCATCAATCATCATGGTACCTTTCTTGTCATTCACACACAGAGCAGCAGAACCTTTGGGTGCCCTGATTCAGCCCCAGCTGAGATCCACCCTGGCAGTACCCTCCTTCTTCTATTGGCTCTCATCTCATTCCATAAACAAGTGTCGTTTTAGATCTCTGTAATGCCACATTTTCCACATCCTGCTGCTTTCTGTTTGTGGATTCTTGGTTTAAAATGGCTCTCAAGCATGGGCTGGGGAGCTCAGTCAGTCAGTAAAGTATTTGCCTTGCAAACATGAAGGCCTGAGTTCTATCCCCAGAACCCACATTAAACAACAAAAACAAACAAAAAACAAAATTAAAAATCCTCTGGGCATGGTGGCCTGTGCTTGTAATCCCTGTCACGGGGAGGTGGAAACAGGAAAATCTCCAGGGCTTTCTGGCCAGGCAGCCTAGCTTACTTGGTAAGCATTAGGCTAGTGAGAGATCTTGTCTCAAATAGCACAATGTGGATGGTGCTTGAAGAACAGCACCTATGGTTTCCCTCTGGCCTCCACACACAAATATATCTACATGCATGCACATCTACACACACATGAACACTACACACTCATCCACAAATGGTTCTTAAGTATGACCCTGATGTGTTTAGGTTCCTAAGCATAAGAAAGTTGTGATAGACAAGCATAGGAAAGTTGTGACAGACATGAGTGAGTGATTTGTATTAAATAAGATGTCTTTAAATAGAACCACATACAATATGTTATTGATTGCTTGTTTTGCAAAATGCTGTGATTATTGGCTCTCTCTGAGGAGCAATGGTTCAGTATTTGCTAATTTAGTATTTGTAGCTACTTTGCAAAATAACTAGTATCGATAAGGAGACTCACCTGTAGAACAAAATGGAAATTCTTACTTAAAAGTACTTACCTTGGAATGCTCATTCCCTGCTGGTGGGATTGCAAGCATGTGAAACCCCTATGGAAAGCAGTGTGGAGAACCCTTTAAAAAACTAAAAACGTACCTACCATATGACCCGGTTATACCACTCCTTGGCATATACTCAAAGGACTCATCCTATTGCAGAGACACTTGTACATCCATGTTTGTTGCTGCTCTTTTCACAATAGCTAAGAGATGGGAGCAACCTAAGTGCCCCTCAACAAAAACACAATGGAGTTCTACTCAGCTGTAAAGAAAGATGAAATAATGAAATTTTCAGGTAAATGGATGGATCTAGAAACTGTTATACTAAGCGGAGTAACACAGACTCAGAAAAAAAAAAAAAAAAGATGTATGGTCTCCCTTATTTGTGGATCCTAGCACCGAATCCTTATAAGTGAGTACATGTCCTGATGTCGCTGCAGGAACCAGGAAAATGGAAGGAAACCAGGGAGGTAAAGAAAGAAGGAAACCAAGAGAGAAGAATAGTAGGATAAAGGTGTTACTAAGGGAGAAATGTGTAAAAAGGGGGTAGTTAAGGGCGGGAAGGCTGGAGAAAGAACTATGGGAATAAAGGGGAAGAAGGAGCTCAAGAGAGGTGAGACCGTAGCATACAAAAATTATTAAGGGAGAAATTAGGAAAATGGGACACTTTAAATGGGAAGGGCAGGGAGGGAGGAGAAGACAGAGAGAAAGAGGATGCATAAAGAGTGCCTAGTTAGTATTAAAAACCAGAAGGAATCATATTAGTCCAAAAACCTACTGAAAAATTACACAGACAATATCCCTACATGAGTCTGTGATTATAGCTGAAGACTACGTAACAAGAAACAGTGCCAGACAGGAGAAACCTTCCTTTGAGTTGTTGGCCAGGGTGGTCCAAGAGACTCCTAAAATTACACAGGCTATTGCCACAGCCCTTGATTGCCTCCCAGAACTTGAGGTAAGACCCTATTGCTGAAGACAGGACATACTTGGGACACAGGATTTGGAGCAATGGAGCTGGAACTGACCTGGAAGCCTCCTCCCCTGAAGGCCAACTCTCATAGCTTTGGAGAGCACTACACAAGCTGGTAAGGGAGAACATCAATCCCAGCTTCAAGGCCTAAAAACCACATCCATGACCAGCACAGTGAATGACATTGGTGTAGTAGTGGCACTTTTATCTTGGGGGTAATCAACAGCTACCTAATTGGACTTTAAGCCTACTCAATAGGAAACTCATGTCTAGTACTGTAAACATAGCCAAATATACATAGCTGGAGAGGACATAGATCTTAGAGAAAATCCCAAGGTTCTCATATCCCTAGACAAATGTAATTTCTTACTATGTGCAAAATACAGATCCTTAAATTTATAGACAAGTATCCCAGTCACCACCCATCAGAGTAGCTTCTTTTTCAACAGACAGAGATTATTACAGTTACACCACTGGTCACACACAGAGATTCTCTGTGAATTGCCCAAGCCTAAGTGGACATCTAGGATGCAACCTCTACACCTAAAACTTACGGAACATAGAACAAAGAGTGAAGAGAACACTAATGCATCTTTCAGTTCTCACCAGTGACGCTCCCTCATGCAAGAGAGGGACAGGAACACAAAATGCCACAAGTGGCCAAAATGCAGAGCATAAGGGTTGGCAGAGTGCGGGTCCTTGGACAGGTTTCTTATACTGAGGTCCACCCACCTAGGGCTCAGGGACCGTTGCAGAAGAGGGGGTGGAAAGATTGTAAGAGCCAGCACGACCATACAGAAATAGTCCCACAGGAGCCTGGGACCCTTCTCATACAAACCTACAGCAATGGTGTCAGCATGCACAACACCCATGCAAACTTAGGCAGAAAAAAACCGAGCACAGAACTGTGGAAATGAATAGCAAACTCCAACCTTAGTCGAACAATTATTGGTCATTGATTACTGCTGAATGAGGAAGAGCTGATCTTCTTGGAGGGAGAGACTGTAGATAGGCTGACTAAACCCCAGTGGATGAACTTGCACTGAGGGACACTAAATTTACATAATAGGTCTTAATACAAATGACAGAATGTATGAATGGGGGGAGGGGGCTATGGGAGGGTGTTAAAGGGGAAGGGGGTATAAAGATGATTTTATGTATGACATACACAAAAAATGCAATAAATTTTTTTTTTTTTTACAAAAGTACTTCCCTGGGTGGTTTGTGCAGGCATCGTCCGCGTTGGCCTTTGGATTGAAATGCTGCCCACAGCCGCTGTTGTAACACAGCAGCACCATGCCAGGTTCCGGATGAGGCAACACGCTGAGGACCAAGACAAGGCACCACAAGCACCTGTGTCACGGACCTAGACGCTGGCGTCTTCCGGAAACCAGGTGTTCCCGTCTTCCATGATGCACTGAAGGGTTGGTCTTGCTGTTAGAGAAGAACAGCTTATTTTTCTGACTTCTTAAGCATTGTAGGCTGTACAAAAGGTAGGCATAATAGTGAGAAGCCACCTGAACCAGTCAAGCCAGAAGTCAAGACTACTGAGAAGAAGGAACTATCTGAATTAAAACCCAAATCTCAGGAGCACATCATTCAAGCCCCTAAACCAGTAGAAGCAATAAAAAGACCAAGCCCAGATGAACCCATGACAAATTTGGAGTTAACAATATCTGCTTCCCTAAAACAAGCACTTGATAAACTTACATTGTCGTCGCGGAATGAAGAAGATAAAAAGGGAAAAGACAGTGATGAAATTAGGATTGGGACCTCCTGTAAAAATGGAGGGTGTTCAAAGACATACCAGGGTCTACAAAGTCTAGGTGAAGTCTGTGTCTATCATTCTGGAGTGCCTCTTTTCCATGAAGGGATGAAATATTGGAGCTGTTGTAGAAGAAAAGCCTCTGATTTTAACCCATTCTTAGCCCAAGACAGCTGTGTGACAGGGAAACGTGTGGATGAAAAAGGATGCTGGGAAAAAAATTGTTCCATGTAGACATGACTGGCACCAAACTGGGGGTGTCATCACCATCTCAGTGTATGCTAAAAACTCACTTCTAGAACTTAGCCAAGTAGAAGCAAATAGTACATTGCTAAATGTACACATTGTATTTGAAGGAGAGAAGGAATTTCATCAAAATGTGAAATTATGGGGTGTGATTGATGTTAAGCGAAGTTATGTAACTATGACTGCAACCAAGATTGAGATCACCATGAGAAAGGCTGAACCCATGCAGTGGGCCAGCCTTGCACTGCCTACAACCAAAAAGCAGGAGAAACAAAAAGATATTACAAATGAATTGGAAGAGAAACAGAAAGCTATTGTCTGTTGCAGAGTTCTTAATGTGTGGTGAAGTAGTAACTTGCTGATATAATTTTTGTTTTTGAATATGGCATTTTAGGTTCATCATGAGGTTCTTAAAAGCCAAAGCGGTTAAATTTTTGTGCCTCCTATTTTCTTTTGAGTTCCGTAATATCAATTACTCATTTCTCCTCACCGGTAGGACCATAATTGTTATTTGAAGAAGTGGGAGAAGAACCCATAAACATGGTTGCAATAATCTTAGGATAAATGATTATAGGCAGAGAAAGAAAAGGGGACAGCGGTTGTTTCTGTTTGGTTGGTTGGCTGGTTGTTTTCTTGTTATGTTTTGCTTTGTTTCCCCTGATAGTCCTGTAATCCCATACTTAGGAAAAGGGAGGTCAAATTTGAATTGGTTTTCTATGGACTTCTGTTCCTACAATACTTGAAAATCTTTAGGAAAAAGGTGAAAATTCTGGTATTATTTTTCCCTGTGAGATGGTTACTTTTTCTAGGACTAATTTTGAAGCAGTTGCGTAGATAAAGAAGGATGCATCTACTGACTAGAAAATTATGTGTTCGCAGTTAATTTAATTTCAAAAGATTACTTCAATACCCATATTACTTGCCAAGCAGTATAATTTGTAGGGAACATAATTAAGATTACAGAATTATTAATTTGGTTAAAATTCGCCATTTCATAAGGGTAAGCAATAATGTTTAAAAATCACATAAAAGTCTTTATGGCGTTTTGACTAAATTGTGTTTGATTTATAGTCTAAACCCTTTTAGGGATTATCTGGTGTCCCTCATGAAAAACTGTATCTTTGAAGTTATAAACCTAAAACTTTGTTAAAATTCATTAAGGTGTATCTGTTGGGGTTAACAAAAATCTTGCTGTCAAGCTTTGACGATGAAGGAACACGGCAAAAAATTTTGGGCAATAATATGTGGATCCAAATAGAACCCCTAAATGTCTAGTTAAAGGTTCATTTAGAAACATGAGATTTTGTTTACAATTTGAAGAAGTTGAAACAGTTTGATTCACAATACTAATTATACCTTTTTATCACTTCTTTCTTAAGGCTGTTCCCCCTGGACAGTATCTAATCGGTTGGGATGGCACTGTTAAAAATGTGAAATGTTCTAACTTCAGACTTTGCTGCACTGCACTATTTTATTTTTTAATACTGCTGTGTAATATGTTTAATTTGTGACCATTTAATCTGCTTTATTTTAAGAACATCTAAATGTTGCTCAGATATAAAATTAAGTGAAATTTATACTTAGAGTGAAATGATATTTGTTGGGAAGAATGTTTTATTACCAGTTTGTTAAGAAAAGTTAATAAAAATACTTGTTATCTAAAAAACAAAGTACTTCTCTTGGAGTTGGGCATGGTGGCGCACAACTTTAATCCCAGCACTCCAGAGGCAAAGGCAGGTGGATCTTTGTAAGTTAGAGGCCAGCCTGGTCTATGTAGTGAGTTTCAGGCTATCTGGGGCTATAGGGAGACCCTGTCTCAAAAAAAAAAAACAAATGAAAAAAACAAAAACAAAAACAGTGCTTCCCTTGGGTTAGTAGAGGAGTGCTTACCTAGCATGCTTGGGGTACTGGGTTTGGTCCCCAGAACTGCAAGAAAAAAATTTTAAGGTGGACCTCTCATACACATATACTATATACATGTTTTTATTCTCTAAAAATATTTCAAATACGAAAGTGCAAAAACTTGCATTCCTTCTCTACCTTCAGTCCCAGACCACCACACTTTCTCTTCATACTTCTGTAGTTTTTCTTTGTATTGTGTTTGCAAAAATATTCACAACTTATTTATTATTTTTCTGACCAAAGCAATCATTTTGGAATCTTTATCAGACTCACATACATTTATACCCATATCAAAGGGCCTGTGTGCCTATGGAGGGTTGTGCATGTGTGCATTTGTGTGTGTGTGTTGTTTGTGCACATGTGTGCAGGTACATATGCATGTGTGTGCACATGGCTGTGGAGGCCAGAGGTCAATGTTGGGTGTCTTCCTCAGTTGCTCTCCACCTTATATTTTATTATTATTTTAATTTTATGTGTAGGAATGTTTTGCCTGCATATAAGTGCACCATGTGTGTGCAGTGTTCCTGGCGGTCAGAAGAGGGTGACAGATCCCTTGGAACCAGAATTACAGATGGTTGATGGCCACCATTTGGATGCTGGGAACTGAACTGAGGTCCTCTGCAAGAACAGCCAGTGTTCTTAACCTTTGAGCCATCTCTCTAGCCACATTCCATCTTATTTTTTGAGACAGTTTCTCACTGAACCTGGAGCTCACTGATTTGGCTAAACTCCCACCACTCTGCCTGTATTTACCTTCCCCGTGCTGGGACAATGGGCATGCACTACTGCACCGGCTTTGACATGGGTGTTGGGCCTCAAACTCGGGTCTTCATAACTGTGTAGCAAGCACTTTACCAAATAAACCACCTCCCCAATCCTTAGGATTGTTTTTAAATTAACCTAAATGGTATTCCACTGGGTATATTATTTTGCAGTTTTCGTTTTTCACTTAACAGCAAGTTGTGTGGGGCTTTCGTGGTGTCTGGCCCACAGACTCCCTGGCCTCATGCTTTCCAAACGTCTGCATGTTGGGGCTATGCATTCTGTCATGCATTTATTTAATTACTTCCCCCTTTGATGAACAAACATCTTGTTTCCAGTTTTCATGATTACAAGTGTTTCTTTCCATTTTCTTTCTCCCCCTAGTGCTGGGGATCAACTGCATGCCAGGCAAGTCCTCTGTCACTGAGCTACACGTCCCTACGAACAAGCTTCAAGACAGTGGGAATTCGTAACTGAATTGAGGTCCACGGGTCTTTATGTGGATAGGGTTTCCGTTTTTTCTCTAGAGGGCTTGCATCCAGAGCCTGGTGCAAAGACTTGCTGACAGCAGAACCAAGACCAGTGGACCAGAGTTCGAGCAGGGTTCCAGCAGTGGGTGCCTGTGAGGGCAGGGCTGGCCGCCAGAGCATCAAGCCCGCTGGCTGGCCGTTTGTGTGCTCCATTCCTCAGGCCTTGTACAAACACCCGGCTTTGTCAATGACTGAATAGGAAAGTCAGCCCCAAATTAGTACTAACGTGAGGGAGGTTAACTCTCTCATGAGGCCCTTTGAGAAGCACAAAAGAACTTCTTCAGGGGCTGGACTATCACGCCCAAACAGGTTTGACTTGGAAACACATGTCCAGCACGAACGCCAAGGCCTCAGGAGACTCCTTAAGCGGCTCCTTGGTCACACACTTGGAGGGCTGAACACAGCTCTGGGTCCTGGAGGGCCTGTGCTCCGGAGGACCATGGCAAGCCCTGGTGCCACAATCAGGATCTCTTGGCTAGTTAAAAGACTTGAGTTCAAATCTCAGCTCTTCCCTCACAGACTGAGGGTCTCCGAGTAAATCCATTCCTCCTCTGAACCTCAGTCTTAGCATCCACACAATGGGGTGATATAGTAACTTTGAGAGCTTATTAAGAAGTTTATGAGAGGGGCTGTGGAGATGACAGCTCCATCGGCACTGTGCCTGCCGCACAAGTGAGAGAACCTGAGTTTGGATTCCCAGCACCCATGTGCACCTGTAACCCCAGTGTTGGACACAGGCAAATTCCTGGTGCTCACTGGCTGCCCAGACTAGCCAACCAGTGAGCTCCAGGTTTAGTGAGAAGACTTGTCTCAAAAACTAAGGTGGAGATCAATGTGGGAGACATCCAGTGTTGACCTCTGACCTTTACACAAAAGTGCACACATACACATACACATATATACACACACAAAGATTACATGCAGTGTCCAGGGCCACTTTTCAAGATGGTGTGTGTGTCGGGGGGTCAGCTTCTTTAACAGAATGACTAACATTACAGGGCTCCCCAACCCAGCCCCGTACCTCCCCAGCATGCGTCACCTTCTGACTTGCTATATAAATGGTTTCTTTCTACTTAGCCACTGTATCCCCAGCTGTAAGCTGCAGGAGAGCAGAGTTTGGAGCCTTTGATTCACTGCTGTATCCCAAGAACCTCCTATAGGCCTGACACACAGCATCAGTATGGGCTGTCTGTGGTGTGAACAGCACAGGTGCCTGGTGTGTACCAGACCTTCCTTGAAGGGTGGCTCTGTGAACTGCTGTTGGCATTTTTCTTGTCCTTATGTGACTCCCTAGGGCACAGGGATAAGGATGCCCTAGGGTGCTGGACTGGGCCTATGGAGAGCCTCACCTTCCCCAGCCCGCATAAGTCAAGAGAACTGGGTTCCCCAACCTGCCTCCCTTTGGTCAAGATGGAAGGCTGGCAGGCATGCTATGTCCAGGGGAACAGCTGCTGCATTTGGCCAGGCATGTAACTGCCTGTGTGCACTGTGACCTAGGCAGCCTGGGTGAGGCACGGGGTTGGCTCAGCACTGGGTTGGTTCACCCCAGGAACCTGAGCTGAGAACTGGCTTGTTTGAGCATGTCTACCCTTAATCTGACCACTGAATCAGGGAACTGACTGAAGCCCGAGTTCTAGGGGAGACCAGACCCATAAGGCCCCTTGGCCTGAACTCTGAGGCCTCTACCACTTGGGGTCTTGACCTGGGCCTGGACCCGGCCCTTATTGGCAAGATGCCAAGTGCAAGGGCTTCCCATGTCTTAGAGGGCTGGCAACCACAGGCTATCTACCAGTCCTGAAAGGGACTCTACTGTTTTCACAGGGCCCATGGAACGTCAGACCTTCGTGAGGAGCTAGAGTAGAGAGTGAGGCATGGAGTCTCCACCCTCCCTCTGGAGCTCCCAGTCTGGCCCCGGGCAGGGGACATGAAACAAGAGCTCCTGACATTACAGTTGGGAGGAGGCTAAGGAGGAAAAGCACAAAGAACTGTGGGTACTTTTAATTGGGCATCGAACTAGGTTTAGCTGTTCTCTGAAGAAATGACATTGAAACTATACAGGAAGGATCCTGGGTGTTAACCAAATTGAGGAGCTGGTGTTGTGGTGGGTGGAAGGGAATGGTGCTTCAGAAAGAGGGAACGGCATGTGCAAAGG